AGCCCCACCGCCAAGTGGCGCCTTCGTGAGAGGATTCACATGTTCAATGGGGTTTTATGGCATGATTTTATTTACGATCTGCTGCTGCTGCTTCGGCTGTGTGTGTGCGAGCCACTGAGCGGGTTGTAAAATGCTGCTGTTAAGTGTCCGACACTTGAAAAGGCTAAAAGGGGCAGCTCGTAAGTAATTTTCTGGTAACTTAGATAAGAACACAAATTATAATTGGAAATTAAATAAAAAAATAATAATTTTAAAGCTTTGGGAGGAGCTGCAAGAAAAAACAACGTTTGAGATACATAATATCCCATTCGGTTTTAATCAGATTTTTAAATGGTCAAAAGCAAATTCTTTGTATAATTATCTCATGCGGGGACATTGGAATGGAACACACGCGAAAGGAACTCATTCGTCTCGAGGGATTGTGGTATTTTTCGACGATAAAATACTAAAAATGTATCGGTACTTCGATAAAATTACAAATTTCTTGACTTAGAGCAGCTGATTGAATGGAAAACATTAACAATAAATGCAATTAGCTATCTGTAATTGCTCATAAATCTATATATATCATTATAGGATGAAAAAAATACAGATTGAAAATATAAATCGATGGATAAAATTCAATTTGTGTGGGGATAGCATATTTTACTGTACAAAAATTATGAGTCACATGTGAATGAGAATGAATTAGATACATTTCACTGATTCATTTACGAATGTGAATAATCTACCAATGGAACCAGCCTTTTTTTTTGTGGAAAATCTTTGTATATACCTTGAATATATGTACTTAAAGCATATAATATAGACATATACTCCCGATCCAGTATCATGTGTATACATCGAACTAATTATAGACCATCTATGTACGTATATTTATATCCATCTCCAGCACTCAAATACATTGACTTTTGTGCAAACATTTTTTCGCATAAACAAAGATTTCCGCTCTCAAAAAAATGCGATTTTCTGAGCACTTTCGACACAATTTCCTTTGTCCCGAGATAGATTTGATGTTATTCCTATTTATTTCACACCTAACCATAAACTTTCATGGTTTAGAGGCAAATGGCAAATGGATCTCGCTTTGGGGCTCTTCAAATATTGACTTCCAAGGCATCGGTCGGGGTTCTCTAAACAGACATTCATCTAGTTCTACTAAAATAATAATTGCAAAATACAAGCATACATATGTGGCCCAATGAATCAGTCTCAAGAGTCAATTAAACAGAAATGAATGCCTCTTAAGAGTTGCCAACAGAATTTATTTGCCCAGAAATTAAGCTTTGTAGACGATTGAAAACTATTAGCCTTAAATATTTATACACTCAAGCGACCGAAAAATATGAAAAGCAATTAAAAACCCAAAAACTCTGGGCAAACTGTCAACAATTTGTGATTTGTTTGAATTGCGGCACATTTGCATATGTCTAGATATCATCATCATCGTCATCCGTGCCATGCCCCATCCGTATCCATGATATTTCTACGTGCGAAAAATGTTAAAATTAGTTTCGAGAATTCCCTATTTATAGGCATCTATAATATAGCCATATATATGGACTATCTACAGATCTCATATGTTTCCCATTTGCTGAGAGCGCGTGGGTTTTTCTCAGCAAAAACGTTTATTGTACGATATTTTGAATTATGTTATGTATTTGCAACAAAATTGTATAAAATGATCCAACATTTTGATCAAATATAAGATTTGTGGAATTTTTGTGGATGTTTTCTTGGCAGAAAATCTTTAATATTAAGACTATCATTCAAAGCGCCTAAGTTTATCACAGATAAAACATGACAGGAGATTACAAGTCTATCTATGGCTTAAAATTCAGGAAAATATTGGCATTTACTGAGGGGGAACCTCTCTAAGAAACACTTGTTTATTGCATTATTATTATTTATCATTATAAGACCTCTGTAAGATATATTATTTATTCATTATAAGATCTCTGTGAGATGTATTATTTATTCATTATAAGACCTCTGTATCTACATAGGTGATCAATAGAAAAAATGTAGGTCTCAAGATCTAGATCTAGGAAAATCTCTAGCTACGACGTATGGGAGATCTGGTATCGCGCGCTCTCCCATTTTGTGGGAATCTATCCAGTCCGATAGATGGCAAGAATTCAATGTTCATTTCTGGTCTTAGATAGGAATCTATTTTACTTCTTATAGCTCAGCATATGGCTATGTCTCGTCATGTGATGGCTGATTGCTAGGCAGTCTCTCAGGAGTCTTCTCATACTGAAATCTTTAAAAATCCTTCCATGTAGATTTTTACTATATTATCAATTTCTGGCACACCCTTGATGATCCGAGAAGAGCTATTCCCCTCAAATTCAGACATTGAATTGAATTTTACGAATTGTATTGCCTTATTTCCATAGGTAATACCCTAATGCCTATAAGATTCGTTGCTTTTCTAATTTCCATTGCACGTGACGCGCGTCATGCGGCAGCGCTCCTCGCTCGCTTGCACTTTTCTGCCTGGGATTCTTGTACTTCTAACGAAGTTCCACTGTAGTTATCATTTAAAGTTCACTTAAGCTGTCAATGAAATCAACTCAAAGCAACCTCCAATTTTGTGCAAAAAAAAAAATATACGAGAAATTCTGACATCATTCATTTGGAAAATCTTTACCTCAGCCAATCAATCTTTTTTATTGCCAGACAGATACTTTTTATTGTTTGGCTGAGGAAAATGCTAATTTATCTTAAAAAAAACAAACCAAATTCTACTTTATTTTCCTTTACTTTTTCCTGAATTGTAAGTTTATTTTGAAAATATACAAAATAAATACCCTAAATTCCTTAAAACTCGAAAAAAACTCTATTTTTAATCGCTTTTTTCCCGTGACAAGACAAGTTCGAGTAGACCAATCTCAGAGATAAAAAAAAATAAAACAGTGAAAATAAAATAAGTAAAAGAAAATGAGAAAAAATGCAGCTAAATTTGAAAATAAACCAGAAAGCAGGGCGAGAAAATTATACCAAAATAGCAGCATAGCCAGAGACAGCGACAGAGCCAGAGCCAGACAGCCAGCGTCCCTTGAGATATTTCATACCAAACAAGTATCTAAAAATAAGTTAGCCCAAAAGTGAATCCGAGAAACGAGATGCAGCAGCAGTTGGTCTGTGGGGGAAAACTTTCGGGGCAAGACAATGGGGATAGGAGATGAGAAACAGGGCAAATGCAATTTATAAATAACAAAATGAAACCATTTCCACTGTGACATCAGCACCGGACCAAACCCCCAAACCAGAACAGAACAGAACAGAACACTACAGAGTACAGATATCATCACCGACATCATTGGAACATGAAAAGGCAATCACACTCAGTGCCTTGTGCCTTTGTCTATAAACAACTTTTCTGAATAATCCCCTCACCAATACGCGCTTCGTTTCAATATAAAAAGTGATCTCATTCTGTGAATAAAGTACATCCAACAAAAGGCTTTAGACTGGCGGAAACCTTGTCTATCAGCTGCACAACAAAAGTGTGGATCACACCGTGTTTAATTAATTGGAATAGACTTGTGCCAACAATTGCGGCTAAAAGGAAATTCGTTTCTATACCTAACTATTGTTCTTGATTCAATGAATAGATGCACAAAACCCAACGATATCTTGGTTTAAGCTAACAAATAAAAAATTGCTATACATTAAGATTGATGAAATTGGACAGAATTCGGATAGAAATTGGTAGGATAATAATATAATGTGGAGAAATATTTGAAGAACGCTCAAATAAATGTGGAAGCTACTTCGATATAAGAAAAGGAAAGTCAAAGAACCTAAAACTCCAAGATGTTGCATTCGATACTTCATGATAGGGTCCCGGGGGGTACTGGGACCTACTCGGCTTCGCCTCTACGTCAATGCCTTCGGTCCCCAGAATCCAATAACAAAATACACAGCTTTTGACGATGCGCAAAGGTAGACTGTTGGACCGAAGCTCGAGGCATAGTTCGATGCCAAGAAATCAAAAACATATACATGGCTTGGGCATGACACAGAAAATTGCAAATTCTTGCTTTCATAAAAAATAATTTAAATAAAAATAAATTATATTAATTAAAAGCAGAAATTATGGAATGCCCTCTATAAAGGTTCTATTAAATTATTTAAGAATTAAACTAATCTAACCAAAAAATGATTTCTTTAAAGAAATGTGTATAAAAAAGTTCGCTGAAAATCGCACAAAATCCAAAAAATTGTATTAAAAAATCAGTCCGCAATACAAAAAAAACTAGCAGTTAAATAACTTCAAAAATTAATTAATTTCAAGTTTTACAGAAAGTTCTAAAAAAAAAAAAATTTTTTTAAATTTTTTTCTAAAAACCAAAACAAAAGCTACATCAACAATTGACTTTAATTTAATAAACAAATATTTTCTAGGTCCTCATTCGCAGCCAGCCAATATTGGATAACAAAGATTATCTCATTCCAAGCACTTGCGAATTGTTAGAGAGCACAAAAAAAAAATGTGCGAGTGTATAGAAAAATATAGTATGTATAAACTATAACAATTCATCGATTCATTTGGCATTCGATGTGGTGTTTGGCCCGTATTGGCGATTGCAATTTGCACGATTGCCAAAAAAACCAAAATTTATATTCAGTTTCCATTTTGGCCACAACATTATGTCATTATCTTACGGCCAGAATGCGGCGACCACACGAAAATAGCCAATATATACTCGTCCGAATAGAGTCCGAGAGGGGGGAGAAGCGGCCAGTGAAAGGTGAGAGAGGGCCAAGAATCTAGGCCATAGTCTACTTTCGAGCGATGATGTCAGGTTGGATGTGGGGACGGGACGGTTGAATGGTTCTCAAGATAATGATGATGCTGGCTGGGAGGGGGATCGTCTCTGGGTCAAGTTCGGTTGACATTTACATTCAGTTTTCCGCCACCCCCCCCAGCCCCTGCAAAGTTCAATGCTTTGCCAAGAGAAAAATCACATATTTTACACGATTTTTGTGTGTTAAATGCCGCCATCCGATTGCCAGAAAGCTGTCCCCCAAAAAAACAATTCTCGAATGAGTCATTCGCTAGGGAAAAAAAGAAAGCCACTGGGAGAAATTACGGGTGAAAAGACTTACCCTGCAGCTGCAATATCGTCATCTGATATTCGGCCAGCTTCTCGTCGACATAGTCCTGCGATTGATTCGCTATTATCTCGGCGGTCGATGGACCAAACTCCTCTTCGTCATCATAAATCACATAGGATCTAGGCTGCGGAGGCTCCAGCGGCACGCCGATAAAATCGATCTGGTCCTGAGCCAGTCCGTGTCCGTGTTGTCTCGGTTGTGGTGGTATCGGTGGTCCCAGTCCCTGCTGATGGAGCTGCTGCAGGTATTGGGGCGGAGGGGCCTGCTGTTGGTAGTGCGATTGCTGGGATTGATGGGACAGCGGTGTCTGTCGATTGCTGTATGTAAAGTCCGAGCTCGGCGTCTGGCACACAATCGGCGACGGTGTGGGCGACAGCTGGAACGAGCTGGTCGGATGCTGATGCTGATGCTGCTGCGATCCATACGAGTTCTGGTGCTGCAGCGGTGCCGGTCGAAAGGGACGCGGGGCAGGCGATGCCCCACCAGCACCTCCGCCGTAGTAGGGACTCGGCGGTGGCTGATAGGGGGCCGGCGATTGGTTATTTCCCGGCCACTGGGGCCTCGGATGGGGCATGTTGGTGCTGCCACGCTGTCCGCGCACCTGATTGAGCGGCGCCGGTGACATGGCATGGCCAAAGGGTCGCGGCCCGGCTATAATGGGCGGCGGACTCGGCGCCGTCGTCCACGGCGAGGGCGGACGATACAGAAAGGACGAGGGCGAGGGTGAGGCTGGATTGTGGGCGCGTGGATTCCAGCCACGTGGCCCGTTGCCATACGGCGGCGGTTGCTGCCCGGACATCTCTACACCGCAAACGTTTTCAGACGATTCGGGATTTTGTGGTTTCCTGATTTCTGGTATTAATTCGATATTTTCTGGTTTTGGCTTACTATTTCACAAAAGACTTTTGGCACAAGGTTGGGTTTTCGTTTTAAATTAACATATTACACTGCGGAAATAATAAATTTAAAACTGATTAAAATTATGGATTTAAACGATTTTTAGGTTTTGTGTTTATAGGTTTTAAAATTGTTCAAGTTTCGATGCATTTTCCACAGATTTTTTTAATACATGTTGAGTTTATCGGTTTAAAAGGTTTCGGTCATTTTTATTTAATTTTTTTTATTATTTAAATATTTTTTTAATTTAGAATATTTTTCAATTGGTTTCTAGCTATTTTTGTAATACACTTTTCGGAAATAATGTTTGTAGCACGGATTAAAACTATAGATTTAAACGGGCCCTAAATAGCATTAAAATCCGAAATTTTTTAAAGTTTTTTTTATAATTTTTCAAGAAATTTTTGCAGATTTTTCTATAAATTTCAAGGATATTTTTTTTTAGTTTTTAGTTTCGGAAAATATTTGTATATACCAATTCGTATATTTATAAGAAAAAAAAAAGATCTCCTTGCATAAACTGTGCAAAACCATAAATCATATCAAATTTTGTATTCGAAATTAATTTCATATTGTTTGATGATAGTGTTGAAATAAACACAAAATACTGTTTACCATTAATTTCAGAGTTTAAAGAGAAATTCATGAATATTTTTAAGGAATATATTTCGTTCAAGAACCATTAATCATGTTAAGAATCTTGTTTAATTTCCCAAAGAACTTAACACCTAATAACTTAAAAAACAAATTGCTTAAATACGGATTAAAATGTTTGATAGGTAGCTGCCTCTTTCCAAAGATTCTTGTAAAATTCTCATCTCAATATAAGAAAATATTCTGCTCATCAAAAACTGATCTGTAGACAATCATTAATCATCATTTGTTCATTAGCCCAACAATCACCTGAGTGTCCAACCCAATTATGTCAAGTGGGACAAAATACATACGTAAGAAAGAGAAACATAAATAAATCATGACCTATTCTTGAAAATTTGGTTTCGGGACTAATTTCACCAGAGACCTACACACACGAGTATACGGGTATACGGATATATGTATCTGCAAGACAGTTTCCAACGGAAGTGGTCTCAATATTTATACAATCTTTAAAAATGGCGCTGACGTTGGCGCTGCTTTCAAGTTTCCAAAGTGCCCATCCTCTTGGCTCGCGGAACATTCATTCCATATAGTTGTCACATATATTTTGGGGAAAATATATTTTAGTGGCAGATAATTTACAATGCATGAAAAACTTTAACATTGTGCCAGATATATGTACATATGTATGTGTCTATAGCTATGGCTATGGCAACGAATGAAAGAGAGAGCGTTTGGATTAGCTGCTGTCAAAATTGTTTGAAGGCCTTCTCCAAAAGTCTGTCTATAAGGATGATATATGGCTTGAGAGTGTGCGTGTGAGCTAATATCCATTAATAATACATAGATGCTGCAAACAAATTGAAATTTAGTTGAATTTTGGGCTATAATATATGCAAATAATTGTAGGTATTTCAAGTGAATGGAATTGAGGGCAAAATGTTTGTATTAATGGGTAATAGTTCTAGATACAGTGAATACTAGGCAGAACGAAGGAAGCTTGAGAAAATATAATAAAATAACACAAAAGAAACCCTTTTTTAGCGGGGGCTCCTCTTTTAGGGGTTTAACATTTTACATACACCTCCCTTGTGGCTTATAGCCTACTTCCACTGTAACAATTTCATCAAACAACAAATGATATTTCCAAAATAATTTTGCACAGTTTTTACCGCCTATACATGTGTATAATTCCGTCATCTGCTTTCAATATATCGTTTCCTTTATGGATTTTCCAGCAACAAAAATTGCACAGTGTAGGCGTTGATCAGTCGGCGGGCGTACCACTACCACTTAAAAAGCACACGTCCCTCATCGCACCAGCAAAAGAAAAACCAAAGGAAAACTCATGCAGACTTTTCACTTTTGCGGGGTGGCGGTGACGGCAGCAGCGGCGGCGGCGGCGGCGGTCGCTCTACGAATTATTCAAAAATAGAAATGAACTCAGTTCGTTAAACTTTTGCTCGAAAAATCATTCCGAGAAGATGCTGCCACACCACCGTTCCCGAGAGTGCAGCACGCGGTGTCTTCCACTTTTATTCTTGCGGGGCGGCCCCCACTTTTAATTGCCATCCGCTTTATGGGGTTTTTTTGTTTAATATCGCATCGTAAGGGTTATAAGTAGTTTCCCCAATTATCTGGCGGGCACGGCACAGGCACACATTCTTGAAACATTTTCCCCGAACCGGAAAAACGTGGAGGAACACGTTTTTCCTTTCACTTCAAACACACGAGCGAGCACTCTCGATTATGTAATCCATGGAAAATTAAGCATAAAACTTATGTTTCTCTAGAATTTCTATGCAATACGAATCACTCGATTGATCCACAAGGCACTTTGATGTAACACACCATAAATTTGATTCGATTTCGCGAACAATTCCAATTGAAATTTCTATATATTGCGCATATGTGGGTATATATAGTCGTGTATATATGTGTATATGCTTGGATGGCAGGTAAGAAGACTTTTTCTATGAAGAACTTTTTTAATATTGCTGAGGAAAAACCGAGAACAACACTCGACGAGCACGAAACACTAACTGAAACGATTACCCCAGTGCCAGGAGACAGGGCCGGGCCGCCGTGGCCGATCTTGGGGAAGATTTTCGAACAATTTTCGGGGGAAAACAGCAGACACAGAGATCGGCAACTGCGCACGACGCGGTGTCTGTCTGTGCTCTCTCCCTCTCGTAGAATTTTCAGCCGGCTCCTCCATTTCTGTTTATATTCCTGCATTCTAAACAGAACGTATGCGCGAGGCAAGTTTCAGATAAAGTAGCGGTACAAGGAAAATCAGCACAACTGGCAGCACGCACACATACACAGGCAATTTCATACAGCCGGCCTAAAACTGCCAGAAAAACGCCAAAATATACTTCTAAATAGCAAACGCATGCATCCCCTGCATGCATCTATGTTTTAAACAATACTTACACGTGCTTAGCTTTCTTTTTGTCCATTTTTTGTAAGTTTTAAATCGTGAAAACACACAATAAAGTCGCCATTTAAAAAAAATGCGCGAAAGCACTAAAAATGGTAGTCAGCGATGGGAGCGTCACAGCGTCAAAAAAGGGCTATCGCGTGAAAAAAAAAGTATGTGCATAAAACGTTAACAAATAGCAGAAAATAAGAGATAACCACTTCATAATATTATACATTACACCTCAAAATACCTAAAACCACTTGTTTGTATTGTACATCCAATTAACAAAATATTTCCCGCCGGCCGGCAGGTCAGCATTAAATTAACCGTTGGAATTAGAGGTGGGGTAGCATCGATATGTACATCGATATGTTCAGGCTGTGCTGTTAAGCGCAAAGTCTTAACAGCACATAATGTTCTGTCAACAGCACTACAAAATCAGCTGTTTCTGCTATATCAAAATATAAATTGTCTGAACAAATTTTTTGGAAAAATGGCCAGCAAGCAATTGGTAAACAATTTGGCCAAAGTTGGACGCTGTGGCCAGAACTGGCTGGCTCCATTGACCGCTGTACGCAACAACAGCTCCCGCAGCGACATCGACAAAGTCACGCACACGGGACAAGTGAGTAGAAAATGTTGCCGTCCTGCGATTACGCAAACATTTTTGATTTTATATCCAAAAATTATGCTCGTTTAGGTCTTTGACAAGGATGACTACCGCAATGTGCGATTCGTGAATGCCAAGCGTTATGTGAACGAGAACTGGGGCATCAAAATGATTGACGAGGTGCCACCAATCGAAAGCACCGAGCGTGTGGTATTCTGCGATGGCGGCGATGGCCCCCTGGGACATCCCAAAGTGTACATCAATCTGGTAAGACATATTCTATTGAAAATCTGCGGATCTTAAACAATCTTTGGTTATAGGACGCTCCCGGCTCTCACACTTGCGGCTACTGCGGCCTGCGTTTCGTGAAGAAGGATGACCATCATCACTAGGAACTACTACCATCTTGAGAGGCCTGGGTCTGCCCATCCAATTGCTTTAGTTTAAATTTCAAACTGAATAAAATTATACCACAAACTGGCTTTGGCTGTGACTATGAGAAACGGAAAACTTTTGGAGTGCACAGGATTTTCCAGATTGAAGATATAATGCCATTGCTTGATTCAGGAGTGATTTCTTGTGTTTGTGGTCCAGATTGTGGTCTAACCTTCACGAAAGAAGCAGTCAGGGAAGTAGGGGAGTACCTTTGGTACCTTTTCGACTAAATTCTGTATAAATGAAGACAAGAAAAAGCCAACGTTGGTAACTGCTGTGTGCTTGGGACAGTTCGGAATGTCTCAAGTGGAAAGGGCTCCTCCCTGACTACAGTTGATGAAACTTACACCCGAAACAGGGCATGGCAGGGATCCTAGTAATCCTATTTTTGACTATGATAAATTTAAGACCTGTTTCCCATTATTATTGCCCAATACTTCGTTCTGGATGGATTTGTTGGCAGGAAATCATTCTGGAAACTCAACAAACATACAACAGTCAGTACAAAAGGACTCTCAAGCTTATAGTTACTTAAAACACTTCCCAAAAGCACCAAATAAATCCATTATATTGCACAACACTTTATTTGCATGTATTTTGAATGATTTCTAATGCGTGCATGCATTATAGCCATTTGAAAGATTAGATTTCATTAAACTCAACTTAAACGTTACAGATTAGTACAACTAATAAATAAACAAATTATAGGTAGTATAATCCAGAGTTAAATTGAATAAACTGTGAGTTGAACTCTCGAAACTGGCGCTGCAGTTTTTGTAGATCAAATCACCGGGTGATTGGTGGGGGTGGGGGGGGGGGGCTGTGTGTCTTTCTATATATAATTTTTATGTATAACTAGTAAATCAATTAAATTATATATCAATGATAGATTGTGTGTAAATCGTTTGCCTGGTAAGCGGTAATACATATGTTGTATAGTTGTTTGGTTCTTTCAGAATGCCTTTTTGTTGCATACTACGGGCACCTTAGATGCTGCTTGCTGCTGGACACTCGCTCCATTGAGACACAGATAGTACCACGAAGAACTAATACAATAAAAAATTGCCGCAATTTGGCGATGATTTGGCCAGCGTACTTTTGTTTCTCTTTTTTTTTTTTGGGCGACTGAAGCCCGCTGACCGAACCGGGCCTCAGTCTGGCTGGACTTGTCAAACTGAAAATCACGTTCACACCGTTCAACACGAGCCTGCACCTGCACCCGCTCCTGCTCCTGCTCCTGCTACTCTCCCATCGAGAGCTGCTGCTCCACTGCACTGCATTCCTTCTCTCAGCCGCGTGTGGGGGTGCAAACTCCCCCTGCCAGCCCAGGGAACGTTCTGTTCTGGGAACTGAAAGTGTGTGTGTGGAGCGCATTGGGGGTGCGCATGCTCACAATACACAACGACGCTGTGCGGTCGCTGCTTAATAAAATCATGGTCAATAATCGTCGTCATCTGTTGTCTCAACTGAGTTTCATCTAAAACACCAAACACTAAGGAGAATGTAAACTAAAATATAGTAGGTTCTAATTTGGATGTTGTGTGGATGTGGTGGGACTATGTTGCCGACGAATCGCTTTAGCTTATCTGCATACTGTTGTTGCTGTTGCTGCTGCTGCTGCTGACGCTGCTGATGCTGGTGCTGGCGTTGCAGCAGAGATCGCTTGTCTTGATTGGGGCAATAGCTGTTCACCACTGGTCACCAGAGGTTCCGTGGCATGGCGTAGCCTTCTTTTGTCACAAACAGGTTGCGATCGGCATACGCCACATGCTGCTCGCCCAGAGAGCCCATCTGCGGCTTGGCCTTGGCAGCCTTGCCATCGTGGGTGACCACCGTCTCCGTGCGACCATCTTTCATGCGAGTCACCGTGGTGGTCTTGTGCCCAGTCGCATCCTGGGCCACCTTGGTGGTCTCATAGCTGCCATCCGGCTTGCGCACCGTCTGGGTCATCACGCTCTGGCTAAACATTTTCGGACCCTATGAGAAAATATAATTATTAGTTATTTGAACCTTTAAATTCTGTTTCTTGTGGTTCCCACCTGATAGTTTCCATCGAATACCCCGCCGAATGGCGTCATTCCACTGCGCGGCAACATAGGCGTCATCGGAGTCATGATCTCCGGCTTCATCCCGATGTATGGACGGGATGGACGAGCCTGTGGCACCTCTTCGCCATCGGCTGTGATGGTGCCATGTATGCGACCCATGATGATCTCCTCATCCGTCAGCTTAGCCTTCTTCAGGCTCTTTATAAGGCGACTCTGATTGGAGGGCAAAATGTTGCCAACGGCTTCTTCGGCCGGCTCCTGTCCCTTCTTCGGATTCAGACGTTGAATGAGCGACTGCATCTGATCGGCGTAGATCCTGAAAAACCCAAAAAACATATAGTTTCGATTGAATTTGGCTGGCATGGGCTGTCTGCCCGACTTACTCGCCATCCAAATCCGTGTCCAGAGATTGATCATGCTGCCGAGCAAATCTCTTGAGAATCGAGCTTTCAAATCCGGGCTTCAAGACATCATCTGCGAAACAAATGGGGACAAATGTTCGATTAATCATAGATCACAAGATACAACGACTTGGTGTTTCTTACAGAAATCATCATTATCATCATGCTCTTGATCTTCGTTATCGATCGATTCGAGGAGACGCTGCATCTGCCGCTCAAAGTGCTTCTGCATCTCCAGTGGACTGGTGAACACTTGGAATGCGAACTTGCGATCATCGTCGAAGAGCTCATCGTCCGTTTCGGCCTCCTCGAACCACTGCGGCTTCCGGAACTCATCCTTGTTCGATGCGGATATATCGGCACCCCTGCAAATTCCGGATACACATACATTAGAATTTGTGTCCACCCCCCCCGGGCAATCCATTCGTTTTGAACCCCAGTACGCAGCCTCCGCAAATCATGCACACACACACACACTCACACATCTGCCTCTGCATATGTGTGTGTGTGTGTTTGTGTGGGTGTATATATCCTGGTGAAAATGTATCTATCATGGCAGGTGCCTGGTTATCGATCCAATTGAAAATGCCGCAGTCGGCGTAAGGTTTTGTTCCTCTTATTTTTAAACATTCACTTGTCTGCCGCCAAAGTGGCGGCTGGCTTGCATAATCTATAGCTATTAATCACATGTACTCAACACTCACTCCTGCTTCTTTTCCTCCTGCGATTTGAACATTTTCTTGAGTATATCCATTTCTAGTTGGTTCTTCTTCGCTGGTAAATTGATAGAACAAAAACGCAAGTGTCCTTGACAGAGTTCAAAGCAAACAGTTTAAAGAAAACTAAAAGAACCAAAACGACCCGAATGCCACAATTGCAGAAAATGTCGCTTAATTGTTCAATTAATTGTTTAATGTTTATCTAGGAATATTTTTTGCAAGAAATTTTTACACGACACCGAACTCCCGAATAAACAGCTGATCCATGGTAGAATTATTCTAAGGTACGGCGAGAGCGTTCTTCGATGGCCAAACTTGTTTCCAGCCCTGGCTATTGGCAGTCCAGTCGGGTTTAACTGAAATAACTCAAGGAGCTCGCTCCAAATATCCAAATTAATATTTTTTTATATACAGATCACGTTTTTGAACTCTCGTTCACCAAGGAGCTTAACAGTATTCTTGAATGCCGCTAATACCGCTCGCTCACCTTTATAATAATTCTACCCTGATCGTTTTGTTTAATCGAAATGCAAGTTGTTTGGCGCGCAAATTTGAACTGCACTTTTATCACCGCTAACGCAAAAACTTACTTCTTAAATTTTGATTATAGTTTGTATATTGTTTTCAAAGTGCTACATGTTAAGTTTATAAGATAATATTTTGATGTTTTTTTCTAATGTAACCAGATCTATACGAGAATACATACTTATTTATAGCTGGTTCATCAAATGATTGGGGGGCAAGTCTTTTGTGAGAACAGCTTGTTCCTTTTGTTTGGTGGATATTTCCAAATTAAAGACAAATATTGCTTATCATATAGCAGAGGTTATAAGCATTAAACTAAAGAACTTTCCCAAGATGCAAAACTTTCTTTCGATGGCTTAAAAATTGTAATAGGAACATCTATGGTTGTTTGCAGAGTAGAATTTTTAGCATATAAAGGATATATAAACGTTGGCGCAGCAAAACTGCATAGTCTGGATGCATTTTGGAATTGTCCCATAATATTCTCGAGTCTAGCTTAAAGATACCACACACAAACACGTATGTATCTGCGGCCAGAGCTTAAAGGTTTCCGCATTTCGAGTTCTGTTGGGGGCGGCCATTTCCTGGTCTCGTAGTCGCATTCGAAGATCTTATCTGTTGTTGCTTATCGGGCTTTTGTGTGTGGGCCGTCTTCTTCGCTGTTGTTTTTGACTACGAATCGAGTGATAAGTGACTGATGAGTGACCGTGCGAATTGGCACACACCACACACGAGTGCGAACGAAAGTGTAGACGAAAAAAAAGCACTGGGAATGATCTAGGTCTGTGTTTATCACGTTCAAACAAATAGTTGATGGGGTCTGTCTGGATGGGCCCTAGTGTCTGTGGCTTGACGAAATGTCGCTGACTCCGCTGCCTTATCAGTGGCTAATCCACAAATGGGTGGGGCTTATCGGAGGGCTGTGGCGGTATATAGCCATGACCGATAAAAATAATGGGCGCCGTGACAGCCTCGATAAACAAAAGCCTTTGTTATTTATAATTTTAATTATTAAAATGCGGAGCAGATATATGTATGTATGTATAGAATAGAGATGTGGGCTTGAAATTCGGCAACGTGACCACGAAAGCACTTAATACACGATAATTTAAATACACAATACACAAAACTAAAAATATGAATCTCAATGGGGAGGGGGATGAATCCTGGTAGGGATGGCGATGGCGATGGCTCTGCCTTAGATTTGATTTGATTAAACAATAACAATAGTTTCCAAAATTAAACAATGGCTCTCACAAGGATCCCAACAACAACAGCAGCATAACAAGGAGGCAAAGGCGCTCGACTAGCTGATCGCCTCGTATTTGCAGATGACGGCAAACATCTCGTCGCCACCCAGATACTTGGCCAGCCACCGATTCTTGATCACGGCCAGCTTCAGGGTCTCGCAGCTGAAGTGGGCATTGAGGTTCGTGTGTAGGGCCCGTCCCATGCCCTCGATCACGAGCAGATCAGTCTCATTGGCAGCTATGGCGTCGCACAGATCCCGCGGAAGGGTTCGCATATCCAAGCAGGGTCCCGACTGTCCATTGGCATAGACAAGCAGGCGGGCAGAGGACCAGGCCGACGATAGGACAGCACACTCGCCGGCACACTCATCGAGCAGCGCGCTCAGTTCCCGACTGGTCACATCGTTCAGCGAGGGTTCACTGTTGGCGCACAGCAGCACCTTGGTTCCACGCCTCAGCAGCTCCCGGACGAAGGGCAGTATGCCGAGCACCACATCCACGCCGCTATTATCCACAAATACCACAGCGCACTTGTGCGGCTGCTGGTCGCTGCTGATTCGCAGGCGCTTTAGCCAATTGTCCAGATTATCCAGCAGCCAGGGCCGCTTCTCTATCCTGTCCAGAGCCGAGTGGAGGCCAAAGCTGCTGTCCTGTTCCAGTATGTTGGATATGGCCTGGGCGCCCCAGTCGAACATGTTGCCCGCAAGGACTCCCCGCACGAGCTCCGTCCATTTGTCATCCGGATTCTGAATGGCATCAATCTCCTCTAGCCGCAGCTTGAGCCGCGCCTTCGCCGAGGCATTCTCCAGCTGCTTTTGACTTCGCCACGGATCCGTGAAGCCAAAGCGCCTCAGCATCGTTTCGTTCAGCTTGAGCAGCTCGCTGGTGCCCAGGATCACTCTGCCACTGTTGTTGGCTATATTGCTTTGATAGTCGTCCAATTGCTGGAGATAGGCTGTCTTGAACTGCTCCGCTCGCTCCTCGGCCGTCGAGTCCTCCGCTTGCGATTTGGCCGCTTGCTTGGCAAATTTGATAACCATATCGCGAAAGCAAGGAAACCAGTAGGCGGCCGCTTTGGCGTCTGTATTGAGGTCCAGGGTATCTGGATGATAGCTGGCCGCATCTGGCAGCAGGACGCAGCTGTGCATGGCTTCACTGGTCGACACTTTTCGCTGCTGCTGGGCAAATGTTGGTGTGCTCAGGTGCGTAAGACGCCTGAAAATTAGCAAAATTTTAGCCGCAATTGTGTTGTTTTTTTTGTGACGTGCGCACTATTTATTAATGCGCAGACAGAGTGACCATATATCTGGCGTTATTCTCCCCGACAGAACGAGACAGCAACAGATTACAGCAAGAAAATGAAACTTTCATATTTCACCTAATCTTTGAAAAATATTTCAATTTATATGTACCATTTTTCCGGCAATTGACGATTATAAGCTCTCCCAAACCCCAATTTAATTGAATTCGAGCTCAATAACGCGTTAGTGCCGTCAGTCAGCTGTAAGCGCAGCCAACTTCACCCCCGACTGCACCACTCACGGCTCTTTCCGGTTGGGATTTTTGACAAATCAACAACACAACAGAAAAATGGTACGAAAAAAATTTAAATAAATACGCGTAATCCTCAATGGAAATGATACAAATGGACAATATATGACCTAAACGTGTTATTTACTGTCAGCTGGCAGTGGGATTTAGTGGCTGAGAGTGTTGAAAGTGCATTTAATTTGTGTAATCATGTAAACTAATTTGTATTATTTTCTATATGTACGAATAGGCCAAGCGCACCAAGAAGGTTGGAATCGTAGGTAAATATGGTACCCGTTATGGTGCCTCCCTGCGTAAGATGGTCAAGAAGATGGAAATCACCCAGCACAGCAAATACACTTGCTCGTTCTGCGGAAAGGTAAGAGATCCACGCAGATTACATTCCTCCCTCATATGACTAATGTTGTGCTCTTTTGTAGGATTCCATGAAGCGCGCTGTTGTCGGCATCTGGTCCTGCAAACGCTGCAAGCGTACCGTTGCCGGTGGTGCCTGGGTGTACTCTACAACCGCTGCCGCGTCCGTGCGCTCCGCTGTCCGTCGTCTGCGTGAGACCAAGGAACAGTAAAAACATTGCTTTAATGCTCCATTGCTTATGCTAGTTCCAGTAGTTAACCCTGGAAGGATAATCCTTTTAGGGCTAATCGACAACGCGATTTTCTTGTGGTTTGCGCCGCGCCGGTCAAGTGAAAAATAATAAAAATTGTTTTTACTTTTATCAGTAAGAAAAATGAAGTGATGTTTTGTCTGTTTTTTAACTGGAATTTCCGCCCCATGGCCCCCACCATAGTGTGCATTTGGAAGTGTATTATATTTAGCTGTAGACCTTTTCAGTGTTCTTGGATTGGAAAAAGTGCTTCTGGAAGTGGATTATGTTCTATGGCAGAGGTATTTTAAGTTATCTTGGATGATGAAAAGCTATGTATGGAATGTATGCAGCTATCATGCTTTATGGTTTCAATGGAAAGGTTCAGTTGTCTTCATCATCAATTACACTCAGCCGACAGTAGATACTGGTAGTCTTTGAGAGTAAGAGCAAGTTTATCTGCCACGGCTCCCGTCCCAATATGCATCTCAATTGGTTCAATAGCTAATCCTGAGCCGATGTCTTTATCGGATATCTGCCATAGTCACAGGAATGTTACACTTTCAAGAGCACTGTTTGGATGATTTTGATATGAATGGTATTCTTCAAGAGCATCTATAAGGTGGGAAATCAACTAAAGGGCTGTCGAAAAACTAATATGGTCCAGAGCTCATGAAATTCGAATACAATCACACAAATGGGCAATGAAACTTAAACTCAGAAAGATAAGGGAATGGAGGCACTGAAATCGAACTAATATCAAAGATTATACAATTCCAAGATGTTGCATGAAGGACCAAATAGCTGTTCTATGACGGGGTTTTCATTACGCCCCATAGCCAGAGGGCGTGCGTGTGGTTTCAATCCTCAAAAATTTAAATGGAATTTTCAATATCTTCGTAGTGTAGTCTTTAATATCTACCATATTCGCGATGGTAGAAAGAGTTTAAAAAGGAGAAAATTCCATTCGCTAACAGGAACAGCAGCAATCGATATAGTTCTACGATAAAAGAGGTTTCAAATAATTACAGGGCTGCGCCAAAAATAAATATCTGTGAATAAATAAATAAATAAATATCTAGAAAGATCAACGCTCATCCACATACATATATATATTATTATTATTATTATTATTATGCATTAACAATGCAGGTTCCTTTATAAAATTCAAACCAACAAAAGAATAAATTCAACGGCTTGTGGACTACCAAAATATCCTCTGAATATAAGTAAATAAGACTCTCTTGTATTTATGGATTTTCTCTTAAATTTGTCATCATTTTTTTTATTTATAAAATTTAAAAAGTCTCTAAACAAACAAAAAATGTAATATTTAAAGGAAATTTCATAAAAATATTGGCTTACATTTCAGTTTTATGATTATCATTATCATTCCTATTAGGTTTTTCGATTTGTGTGTGGTTTTGAGAGATGTTACAATTGAGAAATGATTTGGCTAAACATATAATTCAACAATTAAAACATATAGGCAGCTCTATTGTTGCATAATATGCCATATATGATGGTTATAGATATATGGATACTAATAGGTTCTTGGTGGAAGGAGGGGTGTTTTCGACCTGCCTGTGTCTTGTGTTTCATAATTGGATTTGTTTTCCTGTTTGCTATGTTAAATGTTAAAAATTAAAATTGCACCGTCACCAGTTAAAAATAGTTACTATTTTCATTCATCATATGTATATATCGTTTCCTATAGCTATGGTCTCTGTTGATTTTGTTTAAAAATAAATTTAGCTAAAAAGTTTTACTTGGCCTGTGTCTGTGTCTCGTCCCAAGGGTTCTGTTCTGTGGAATTTCCGTATACAAACATCTTTTTCATTGGAATACTTTTTTTTAAATATTTACACAATAGCTGACAGATTTCATTCATTGAGCAATTTTATGTTTTCTTGTTTTGTTTAGTTGAGAGCTATTGCTGATGGGTGTGGCCAAACTTTGGACTAAATCTAAATGTAATTTAGAACCTAGAGTCGAACTTAGAACTAAATGCAATTTATAGTACAGTTTTTGCTTGCTTCGCATATACGCATATACATACTATATAAATATTTTATTTAAATGTATATTTTTAATAGCTACTTTAATTTTATGTACAAATTTTCTTCTTATTTACTTTTCTTGTGGTTTATTTCTCATCTGAATTTTGTCATTTATAAATATTTGATTTTTTTACACTGTATTTATGATATGCGTGCAATTTTTAAGAGATTTTCTTTTTAGTTTTGTTTTGCCATTTCTTGTATAATGATTATGGGGGTTAAGAAGCATTTTTCTTGTATGATATGAAGAGCGCATCGTTTTGGTACAAAGCAACAGATTTTTCCTTTGATATACATATAATATATTGCCTAAAAGTAGAATAGGGACAGGGGCCGGGGACACAGGGCATGAAAACAGATGTGTCCCTTTCATATAAATTCTATCTAGGAATGTTGGGGGAGGGCTGGGGAGTGCTGTTGTTTCATCGTATTATTAATTAAATATTGATTATATGTTTCTGCTATGACACACTTGTGGCAATTGCTCTTGGCCTTGCATTCGCTTTAAATCATATTCTGTGAAGCACAAAATGTCATTTAAATGCCAATTTATTGGTACTTGGTCGAAGCTAATGTAAATTTACAATTACCATATACATATACATATATATATATATATAGATCTATATAAATCGTAGAACTGCCTGCCTACACACAGATGCATACATATATCTAAATTGTAGTACTGACTCTCACGCATACACTCGGGAAGACATCCTGCCGCAAAGGACAAACACATTCACTCACACATAGAGATAGAGAGAGAGAGAGAAAACTTAGATCAGAAGTAAACTTAAAGCTACATAAATGTCAATAAACAAAAGCCAGCAAAAATCAACACAAATTGGAAGTTCTCAGTATAGTTAGTAGGATCCGTTTAGTTTAGTTTTGTTGTTGTTAGTTAATTGGATGTTGCGAGGGTTGCTAGTGTGCCTGCCACTTGAACTTGGACTCCATCAGCCACTGCTGGCCCTTGCCATAGCTGCAGGGCCGCAACAGCGGCGTATTGGCATCATCTCTGTTGGCACGCTGTAAGCACTGGCCCGTATTCGTGTGACGTATCCACTTCTCCTGTAAACCAAAATACATCTTAAGTATCACAGATAAAAGATTATGATGTATATTTATGACAAACCTCCGCATCGTAGACCCACTCCTGATTGCCACCCATATTGTGGCAACGCACCATATTGACCGGGCCATTGGAGCTGGCCGCATCGAGGCACAGATCATCGGACATGATCTGCTGTCGCTTGGTGTAGGCAAACACCTGATTGCCGCCCAAGCCATGGCAATAGCTAATGCCAACCTTTTCATTATACTTCCTGCCCATGGTATCCAGACAGGTTTCCGTTTCCGCATTGCGTATCTAAAGGGTAAAAGATTTGAGTATGAATTAAAATATGTATTACAAAATAAATAAACATACCTCGCCCAGATAGTAATAATCCAAGGGCATTAAACTCTCTGGATAAACATTCTCCAAATACCAGCGGAAACTTTTGCACTTGAGACGATCACGCAGATCCTTGCGATCGCTAACATCTCCCGCCGAAGCTTTGCGAGCACCTAAAGTTCCAGCAGAACAAAAGGAGAGAGAGATATAAGGAGATCAGTAAGGATACTCGAGTACTTGTCGCAACAACATCAATGTAAGTGTGGGTTGTGTTTGTGTTAGGATATACATGCGTGTTTAATATTTTAAAAGCAATTTCGAATAATAAATACAAAAGAATTTGTGCGGGTGCTGAAGGAAAGTACTATCAGAGTATTCACAACCGCAGAGATTCTTTACGATTTCCACGTTAGTACATTTAAAGCAAGCAAAGGATGCTATCTACATACATACATATATTATCCACAAAAATTACAAGGCTTAGAGCCGCAAGATATATACAATTTTCTCTTTCATACCCCAACAAAAATGTTATTATAATACACAAAAATTAGTGGAGTACAGATAATATTTAAGCATAGAAACCCGTAACCAAGATTCAAATTTTAACTGGCTTTCAAGTAATTACTTTTTAGTTTTATTGAGTAACCCTAATAAAGAAAAACATAAAAACAAGGACAAATAAAAATGGCGGGGCTATTGATTCACATGTTTGGAATAAACCATAATCCAAATACCTTTCCGTGAATACCCCTGATGTGGAAAATGCAAAGACAAAACAGTGGTGGGGAGGGGGGAACAAAGAGAACAGGCGTCGGGTGTGCGGTGGGGGAGTGGAGAGGAACTCAAGAATTATAATAGGACAGACACACAACAAAAAATATTTGCACAACGAAAAAAATACATATTTAAAAGGTGAATCGATAAAACTATTTGGTGGTTGATTGATTGGTGGATTGATTGCTTTTCGGTGGTTTGGATTTTGTTGTCACGGCCATGCCATAAATCATAAATATTGAGATATAGTAGATATATAGACAATTGCGTAATGCAGGGCGTGCGGCTTGCACTATGTATTTGTATGTATAGGGTGGATATACGGAACAAAACACTATTTAAGAGACAGACAATAGAGAAATAGAGAAATTGAACGTGAGAGAATGAGAGACAGAAAGTGAAGGAAGCATTCCGTTTGGTTTTGATTTGGTTTTTGTATTGTTTTTGGTTTTGGTTTTGTTTTGTTTTTTATTTGTTAACCTGGATAAAAACTGTAGTAGAACTCTTTCCAGTCGTCCAGCCAAACCTCAACCAGACGCGCATTATTGTGATTCACAATCTCCGTGGTGCCGCCTGGGAAGGTATACGGCGTTGACTTGCGAAAGACATGACCCACACGGGAGCAGGGCGCTATCTCGAGGACACCGCCACACATCCAAACCTGAGGGCGGAGGCGGAGGCGAAGGCGGTTTTTGTGGTTTCATATTTTGATTTTTTTTTTTGTTGATTGTGTGTGGTATTTTTTTTTTCATAAGAGTTTTGTGTGTGTTTGACAATCGAGCATTACAATCGAGCATTTTTGGCAAAAGAAATTGGACGAGAAAGATATACACAAATATATATAGAAAAGCTGTTTTGTTAATATATAGAGTTATATAATAGCCAAGCGCAAGTTTGTGGCGAGTTCCTGCTGTTGTTTTAGCCTAAAACCCCCCTCAGAGGTAAGGGACATCGAGAAGGAGAGACAGAGAAAGAGCGACCTCTAAAAGTTAAGGGAGTTTTTGGTGGGGATTGTGGATTGTAAGCACTAGCAAATATGGAAAACGAGTAAGGATTCTAAAACTAACGAGTAGCTAAAACACATTGATTGAACCTCTTTGGAGGACACAATACAGTGTCTAAATAAGGGATATTTCCGCTTAAGAATGCTGCTTAAAGGACTACCAGTGTATTTTCTGAAGAAGTAGTGAGTTTAGATCTAACGAGTAGCTACAAAAACATTGAATGCTTTGAGCAGGATATGGGAAAGTTTTTTGCAGAAGCAGTATTGCATATTTTGAAGAAGTAACGAAATACGATTGACAATTTCGAGTTTACAAAATCGCTAGTATGGTTCCGCATTACTTTTAGTTAGTAAAGGTAAGGCCTACACAAATTTAACTCTCAAGAAAACTGTATATAACTGTATAACGAGTACGAGTACAGGGATTATAAAACGAGAGGCGGTAACGAGTAACTGTAGTATATCTAGAGTTTTTCCACACAATGTAACGAGTCCCCATAAGTGCTTATCAAAACCACACCCAAACCCATTGAGACACAACCAGGGGACACAAAGGTTATTCCCAACAAAAGAAAACTATGATCAAATTAAATATTAGTTACAACTAAAAATAAAAAAGAACTAATTATTAAAATTAATTACCAATCGTTCTGATACTTAAAGCATAATTAATAAGCAACAAGTTATATGTATGTATGTAAGTTATTTTTAGCTTAGGATCTCAAATCGTTATTACACAACTTTCTGGTTATAAGAGAGTACTTGGATACCTATATTTAATGTTTAGTAGTGGATTCTTTGATGAACGGACATGAGAGGGCGAGAGAGAGAGATGAGCATGAGCACAAAAAGAATCTTAAGAAACTGAGCAAAATCCAGTAGAATATCGATTAGAATTGCGATCAAACAAATTATATAATGGAAAAAGTTCTGAGTTAGGGATATGCCAGTGCGAAATACTTGAAGTGGAAGCGATGATTGGTCGTACTGTCATCGTTTTCGGGGTAAAGGAAGCCGTCCGATTTATACATTATATATGTTTGGATAGCTAGGAATTATTCATAGTTATTTATAGGTAGGGTAGGTATATGTTGTATGCTATATATTAGGTAGGTAGGTAGGTAGGTAGGTGGTTACACAAAAATCTTTAGCTATTTAGATTAGTTTAATAACTTGATGCTTTCGTTTATGCTCCGAACAAAACATGTCAGTTTTTGATTTAATGTTTAGGTTTTGGTTAGTGTTTTAGTTGAGGACCTTTTTGAGTGTTTTTTTTCTGTTTGTTTTTAGCGAATTAAAACCAATTACGAATATATAACGAGTAATTCTTAAAGTTAGGAGTTAGATGCACGCAATATAAAATCGATTTGGTGGTTTTGGAAATGTTATTTGATTGTTTTGTTTGTTGGTTTTTTTTTTTTTGTTTTTTAATTTTTTTGATTGTTGTTTTTTGCGAACCTGTGCTCATTGCATAATAGAAATCACGCCACTCGTCCAGCCACACCTCGGCCACACGGGCCGCATTATGGAGCACGATTTTGGCCACGCCGCCGGGGAAGGTGTACGGCGATTTGTCACGGAACACGTGACCCACATGGGAGCAGGGTATTATTTCTAAAATGCCTCCGCATTGCCATATCTGAGGGTTATCATTGGATGTTATGTTTTTTTCTTGTTTGGTGTGTGTACGTTTTATGATTATAAAAAGTTTTTGTTTCAATTTACGTTAAAATTTTAAGACTTAAAAAAAAAAATGATAAAAATAAAATAAAATAAAAATGAATTCTTAGACTTATGGAAGGACTCTTTCTGGCCTAAAGAAAACGAAAATCATGAACGAAAACAAAAGAAGGAAAAACTATTGCGAATATTTCATGTGACTTTGCCTTACACGGAACGACATTTCCAGATTCTCGCCACCCCAAATGTCCATGCCCTCGTCGTAGGAGCCAATCTCGTAGAAGTAGTCCTTATCGATGGAGAACAGACCACCGGCCATCGTGGGGGTACGCAAAGGAGCAGTTCTGTCGTTATTCCGACGCGACATCTCACGGGAGGGCACTCGATACCTGGGATGATAAAGGGGAAGTTATAGTATTGGATTAACAGATCAATATTCGTAATATCCAAACCATCTAAAGTTCAGCTTCCAGTTGAAGCCACCCCACGTCGAGTCCGATGCTGTGATGTACTCGAATGTCTCGTCCGAGATGACATCAATGATGGGGCACACAACCGTTCGACGATTCTGTACGATGCGCGCCAGCAGCGGCTCCAGCCAGCCCTCCGTGCACTCACAATGGGCGTCCAGGAAGGTGATTACGTCACCGCTCACATGCTCCGCGCCCAGCAGTCGAGCACGTATCAGACCCGAACGTTTCTCTGTGCGCAGCACAAAGGTTCGTACCGGCAGCTTGGCTACATAGTCCTCTAGCTGTTTGCCCAGGAAATCTGAGATGAAAAATGTAATTATTTATGGATTCTACAGAGCAAAGAATACCCTTGTTGCACTAGGGCAGGGTATGATGGTGTGGCATTGATTCACTGGACAAATTTCGGCTTTATTTATCATCAATTTATCAACCCAGTGGCAGCCATTATCATCAGCGAAGGCTAAAGGAAACGCCATCGTACCCCTTTCACTGGCATCATCCACCAGAATGATTTCCTTGAGCAGGGCCCGCGGCGAACGATTGATGACACTCCAGACTGTTCGTAAAAGCGTCGTCCAGGCTTCGTTGTGGAATACTATCACAATTGACGTGGTGGGCAGCTTGGAGGCATAGTGCTTTCGACGACACCTAAGGGGAAAATATTAAATTTTGGATTAGTTTTCGCAGGTAGATGATTAAGGACTCACCCCTCGTGCCGGACATCGGTTAGGGAACGATTCAAGGAGATCATGTCACTGGCCAACAGATTGAATTGATTCTCCTTGAACTTCTCCTTCATGAGATCCTTCATATCCGCGGGTATCTTCACGGGTTTACCCATCTCGCCGGGCTTGCCCTTGGCCTCCTCAACGGTGGGCGCTAGGAACCATTTCTTCAGTGACACGCTGGGATATGTCATGGATATGCCACCGGGTGCAAAGCCCTGACCCATAATCAAGGCGCTGCCCGAGTCACCATCCAAGGATTTTTCCGTATTAATTTCGTTGTCGTCCACCAGTTGATTATCGTCCACCAGTGGCTCGGCATTGGGTAGCTACAAAAACGAAATGAAAGGCAATTAAATATCTGAAAAGTGTAAATCTCTATAGGCTATTGGTAGTACCTCTACATCGAACTCCCCGGAACGCTTGCAACGCCATCCGTCCTTGCCAATGCAGTCCGAATAGCGGGTGATTAGCACAAAATCAAAGATCACCCACACCAAAGAGGTGAGCAGTACAATCCGGCAGGTATTGGAGCGCATCCGTCCACGCATTTTTCGTGTGAAGCTCGAGAAGGTCATGTTTGCTGTTTGTTTGTTTTTTTCTTCTTTTCTTTTCTGTTAACTATCGTTAAGGGGCTTTCGGTTTGTTAGCCGTTGATTGGTTTGTATTTCTGATGATGTGGTGGTCTGGTTTTGCTTTCTTTTTTATTCCTCACAGAACATGTTGTTTAAATCCTGATTCTAGTAGCTCTGTTTGTCGATATGTTGATTAATGGTTGCCTTATGTTTTAAAAAAATGTTGTTTCTGTTGCGATTTATGTTTCTGTTTCATTCGGTTGTATCAGACTTTTATCGCTCCCTCAAGCGTGAAATTTGTTTTTAGTTTAAAATTGTTGTTTATTGGCACATATGGGAGCACTTCTCATCTTTCTCTGTCGTCGTCGTTGGTCTGTGTGTTGCCTTCTCTCATGGCTTCTCGCCATCAAGGGGTGTTATGCTCCTCTCACAATTCACGATCGCTAATCCATTGAGGCGACATCCAGGTCCAGTATCGCCTCGGCCAGCTCTCAGGCCCGGACCAACAGTCTCCAACAGCCGTCTATCGTTCCTCAATTCACGCTCTCTCTCTCTCTCCAAAGACCTTGGGCTATTATTTAACTGCAAAGAAAGCCAAACGATACAAAAACTATGATAAATCACATCGAGATAATGAGAAAATGAAAGTTATGAGATTTCATATTTTCAGCCATGGTTCCATAACAATATAATCTCTTTTTTTTTTGTGGCTCGATAATCAGATAAATAATCCACAATTTATTATTGTTTTTATGTGTATTTCAATTGTGATTTGCTTTTGGCAAAAAGTCACGAATCATTCTCTCGAGACTAAATAATTAATTGGCAAATAAATGTGTGTAGTTTCATCCCCTCCTCCCACCCCACACACCGGGTACACCCGCCAACATTGGTTCGCCCTCTATAATTTCGTTGGTTTAACAGTGGAACGTATTTGATTACATTAACAGATCAAGCTAATGTTAATTTGTGGAGCGTATGCACTGCCTGACATTTCTTTACATTACTTCAATTAACATAGAACTGTTAATGGATATTTTTAACCTTTTATTAATCGGTCGTATGACATCAGGCTTCATTTGGAAGCTGACGTGCAATGTCTGCCACCATCAAGTGGCCAAAACGAAACCCAAGTCAAAACTTTTTACGCGAGGAGCCCAGGCAGAACCGGCACCGAGCGTAACACGCGAATCGTATAACAAACATCGTACCGATCGCTTACATGCAAGATAGACAGGTGTTAGACCAATAATTGAAGAAAATTAAAAAATAATTCAAATATCTAAGCATGCATCTAAAATGAAAATATATCTACGAATTACGAGAAAAATATGTTAGTTTTAGAGGGGTTTAGAGGGGTTACAGAATATTATTTTTATGGGTAAAAGGCTTATACAAAGAATAATTTGATTTCCCAACAGTACTCTGGGCAGTTTCATTACATTTGTGTAATTAGCAGAGGCTTAACAGCTTAATCATGTTAATAAGCGGTGCCCTTTACACGCTTGACAGAGCCTTAACATGAACATGTTAATTGTCGTGTGCCTTAAAGAGCGAGGGAGTACTTAACAGTGCATTAACATGTCAATCGTGGGAGATAACAATAGGAGCAAGAATATTTCTTTGTCAGGGTAATACATACAATATAGTAATAATCTGATCCTTGGTGGTTTCTTTTCTCAATCACAAATACAAATTTGTACACTATTTATCTACTATATAAAAATTCTTAATTTCCTATAAATTTCTCGTGGCCTTCCCATTGCTAGACCAAGAAATTCTCAACTATTTGCCAATCTATTAGGATAACAATAATAGATTTGGGGACTGCCTAATGCATCCATTTAAAATCTCATTTCAACCTCGAACGAAGAGAGAACATCTGTATGTCTTTTTTTTTGTCGCATATTTGTTCAATCTCTTTTTTCAAAGCAGCAACAAAACGATTTGTTCTATTCATTTCCCCCCATACAACAAATATTGAATAAAATTCTATGGAAAAAGTCAATTTGTCTGAAGAAAGCAAATATAATACATGCAGAATACAAAAGATACAAACATCTCAATTATTTTCATTTGCATTGATACTTTTTGTTATTCCATATAAGAATCAAGCCCCACAAGCCCCTCTTTATATGGGACACACACACACGCACACGCACACACGCACACATTTCCCATGCAAATGGCACACATCTGCATCGATAAATCGAATCAAAGCTTCAATTTCAATATTTCTTTTCCGGCTTTAGGATTCGTTGGGGGCTCTGGCTTCCCGGCTCTGTTGCTGGATCTCTGACTTCGGCTATGGCTCTGGCTCCCACCGCAAATATCTCTGAATCTCGTGTCTGCACACCCAAATGCCAACGGCATCAAAAGGAGGAAGAAAAACAGTATTTCAAATGCCGTTTTGGCCAAAAAATTCCATTGACAAAGGTCATAGTCACACAAGGCAGCAGTCAGGCGCAAACCGAGTCAGAAGCAACAGCAGCACAAGAGGGCAACAGCAACAGCAACAGCAGAGGCCGCAGCAGAGACGAGGTGGCATCAAGCAGACGACAAACAGACAAACAACAAGCCAAACGAGAGCTGCTGCTGCTGCCGCCGCTGCTGTCGAGAGTGCGAGAGCTACAGAAAAAGCGCAACAACTCTTAACGGTATTTTGCCAGGGCTTTTCAGCTGGCTTTCTTTGCATGCCCTGGAGGCGGGAGGGTAGACACAGATTTACAAGACGTTTGTAACCCAGAGAAAGAATCGTATAGAATCAAATACCTGCCTCGCTGTGCAAAATTTCCCATAAGCCAATGGACATTTGTTCAAAAACTCTCTAGCCCGATTTACCACTGAGATCAATGAATATTTTTGTTTTATAAATCTCGTGGATTACCACAGGCAAGTATTCTTCGATCCAACTGTCCATATCAGCGCTGGGCACGGTCTTGGTCTATTTTGTTTTTGCACTCTCGGCCTCAAAAACACGTTTGTTTTGTCAGCGGGTATCTGGTCAGGGTATGTCTGATCTACGAAATCTCTTCAAAAATCCCCTCCCTAGGGTATCCAAACCCCGACTCAGAAAAAGCCCTGCTTCGAACACTATTTTTGCCTTTTTTTCTTTTCTGTTGGCGCTCACATAACGTGCATTTGAATCATTCATAAGGCATGCGACGTCGTCGTTGAGCTTCGCTCTTGCCAAACTAGACAAGAGTCGAGTCGAGTCGAGTCGAGTCGTCTCCGGGAGTCTGAAAAAAACCCGTTTCCCACCATCACGTTGCACGCACACTTGTATGTAGCACCAGGCACAGATCCGGGAGGGGGCAGAGGCAGGGCAAGGGGCAAGTCAAGGCAAGGCCGTAGGGGATAAGGAGGCTCTAGAGTGAACACTCTGTTAAAATATGCAATTGCATGTACGAGAGGAGACCCCACACACCACAGAGACCCCAAAGTGGGGAGAAGAGAACTTCAGCTGCTGCTGCTGCTGCTGCACACAGGAGTGGCCCATCGTCGGGAATCATCAATAATAAATTTAAAAAAAGCGGCAAATGAAAATAACACAAAAAGGAAATTCCAGTTCTTTTTTATAATTACAATTTTACAGGGAAGCTTTTTCGTAAGCGGTGTAGTCACACGGTTAAAACTGTACTCAAAAAACAACAAGAAAAAACATTCAAATTGAATCCCATTTTCAATGGCCCGATCTGCGAGTGCATTTAAATTTATTAATAATTCAAAATGTACTCGTGTTTCAATGAAATCACTTAAAAACAGGAACCAGATGATACCGTAAAAATGTTTATATATTTGTGAGTGAATACGTGACTGAAATTTGGAAGAAAGACTTTTATGAATATTAATTTTAATTAAATAAAATTTCCACCCGTATCATAATGCAGTGACAGCTCTTTTTGCGAACTTTGTATTTGTTTTATATATAGGATTCGAAATGCATGTATAGAACAAAGAATTTTATACATAAATTTACATACATTTGTGTTTAAATCAAAATGAATTCTATTCGCAAAAGGGGTATTTAATTTAAATTATAATTTTAATTGAGTTTCATTTAAAATGTTCTATGAAAACATCTTTATTTAAGAAGAAATATGAAAACTATTTAAGTAAATATGTATATTTACTTGGCAATATTTCTTTCAAAACCTACCCACGATTACGTATGGGTACGATTAAACGCCTCACGCGTCATGCCGCAGCACCCCTCGGTCTCAGTTTCTTCCTGGGTTGACCGATGGGCAGTCCTAATACGTACAGCCTTTTTTCAAAGGGTATTTCAAAACCCCCATATGAAGAAATCCAACCATAAAACAACATATTCATTAAATATGTTCTTTAAATTTGATTTGCTTTTATCTTGTGTTGTTTTATTCGAATTAATCAAATTGTAACAGCTCTGCTTTCACACGCTTGTTTTGGGCTCCTGACATTTATTTTCATTTGCAGAACGAAAACGTATGTACATTTTTTATGCGATAGACAATTCAATTACAATTATGTCAAATGAATACATTTACAATTTGTGGGTGTGTGTGTGTGTGTTTTGTGTGTGTTCAGCTTGAAAATCATAATTGGCATCTGGGTAAAATGTTGAAATGCAATTATCCACACAGACAGGCACAGCGAGAGAGAGAGAGAGAGAGTGAGAAAGGGGGAGTGGGTGGAGCACCAGTCATGCTTTGTGAACTGCTAATTGACAGGTAATCAGGTTTGCCCGATGAACAAAAAATAACAAACAACATCGTTTTCAGGTGGGATAACAAGTAGAGCGAAAATTAGAAGCGCCAGTGCCAGGTGCCGAGTGCCAGAAAGAGAGTGAAAAAAGAGTGAAATTTGCCCTCTTTTCAACTCCAAAATCAATGTTAGTTTTTTTGGAGCTTGAGAATTTTCATTTTTTATTCCTATGCAAATTCAATTACAATGAAATTCGCATGACTTCCCATACCTATTTATCATTGAAAACTGTTGACTCCACTTAAACAAAATGAGCAGGCATTTGTACTGTTTTACTCCGAAAGCACTTTCGATTCAATAGTTTTTTTTTCGTATAGTATATATTTGCCATAAGTACTCTACAAATTATACTTTTTCTCTCTTAATTGATGCGAATTTCCACTGTAAATTTTACTATTTCACACTATAAATCACTTCCGAATTTAGCTGGAAATTAGAACCAACCCTATAGCTCCCATAATTATTGTTAGATTTTCTATTCAATATTCGAATTCAGAAAATAATCTTTCCCATTCTCAAATGATCTTTAGCTTGGAATAAATAAAATAAAATTGAGTCTATAAAATACAAAAAGAATTATTCACTGTTTCATAGTAAAACTCCCATAACGATTCAAATTAAATACAATTTTGTAATACATTATCGACAAAAAAAAAACGTTCAGATTGGTAAGTATTATTCCTCTAAGTATTATTTATACCATTAGTATTAATTTATAATTAGTTTTACTTTATACTCCATAATAATTGTGTTCTTTTTTACTTAAGAGTTGCATTCGCCAAAGCAAACTCTAATTCAACCACAATAAAAACTCTTCGTCTTGGAAACGCATCAAAGAT